CTTCCTCTTGCAGGAACTGCTGACACACTCCAGCCACATGAGGTCTAGCATTGTCTTGCATTAGGAGGAACCCAGGGCCAACCGCACCAGCATATGGTCTCACAAGGGGTCTGAGGATCTCATCTCGGTACCTAATGGCAGTCAGGCTACCTCTGGCGAGCACATGGAGGGCTGTGCGGCCCCCCAAAGAAATGCCACCCCACACCATGACTGACCCACTGCCAAACCGGTCATGCTGGAGGATGTTGCAGGCAGCAGAACGTTCTCCACAGCGTCTCCAGACTCTGTCACGTCTGTCACGTGCTCAGTGTGAACCTGCTTTCATCTGTGAAGAGCACAGGGCGCCAGTGGCGAATTTGCCAATCTTGGTGTTCTCTGGCAAATGCCAAACGTCCTGCACGGTGTTGGGCTGTAAGCACAACCCCCACCTGTGGACTTCGGGCCCTCATACCACCCTCATGGAGTCTGTTTCTGACCGTTTGAGCAGACACATGCACATTTGTGGCCTGCTGGAGGTCATTTTGCAGGGCTCTGGCAGTGCTCCTCCTGCTCCTCCTTGCACAAAGGCGGAGGTAGCGGTCCTGCTGCTGGGTTGTTGCCCTCCTACGGCCTCCTCCACGTCTCCTGATGTACTGGCCTGTCTCCTGGTAGCGCCTCCATGCTCTGGACACTACGCTGACAGACACAGCAAACCTTCTTGCCACAGCTCGCATTGATGTGCCATCCTGGATGAGCTGCACTACCTGAGCCACTTGTGTGGGTTGTGGACTCTGTCTCATGCTACCACTAGAGTGAAAGCACCGCCAGCATTCAAAAGTGACCAAAACATCAGCCAGGAAGCATAGGAACTGAGAAGTGGTCTGTGGTCACCACCTGCAGAACCACTCCTTTTTTGGGGGTGTCTTGCTAATTGCCTATAATGTCCACCTGTTGTCTATTCAATTTGCACAACAGCATGTGAAATTTATTGTCAATCAGTGTTGCTTCCTAAGTGGACAGTTTGATTTCACAGAAGTGTGATTGACTTGGAGTTACATTGTGTTGTTTAAGTGTTCCCTTTATTTTTTTGAGCAGTGTATTTTGTTTTGTTTAACACTTTTTTGGTTACTACATGATTCCATATGTGTTATTTCATAGTCTTTACTATTATTCTACAATTTAAAAAAATAGTTAAAATAAAGAAAACCCTTGAATGAGTAGGTGTGTCCAAACTTTTGACTGGTAGTGTATATCTATATTTATGCTCCGGACTCTGACATTACTCGTCCTAATATTTATATATTTATATATTAATTCTATACTTTACTTAGATTTATGTGTATTGTTGTGTATTGTTAGATATTACTACACTGTTGGAGCTAGGAACACAAGCATTTCGCTACACCCACAATAACATCTGCTAAATATGTGTATGTGACCAAAAAATAAAATGTGATTTGATTACATTACTAATTCTAGCTACTGGTGAGAAAGCTGCCAGTTGATGTGTGTTTCATCAGTGTTGAAAGAAAGCCCGCCCCAGAGCACACATTTGAAATTTAGAATGGAGAGGGATTCCAAATTCCAGGAATCTGTTTATCTGGTGCTCATCACCATTGCTCCCCCCCACCCCAAAAAAACCATTACCAACTGCAAAGCCTCTGTTAACTCTATTAATTTCATAACTTTACACAAATACAATAGGATATACAAGTTGTGTAAGTGATGTCTCTATCTGTCCGTATTGTAATGCTCTAGCAGAGGAATTGTCTCTGATGTAAAACTGAAGCCATTTGCCAGTGAGTGGTTTGTACTTGTGCTTAACGAACCCAGGGCTGGGGAATCCCCAAAGGTACACAGTAGTCTTGCAACCTCGAAAAACACACACAGAAACAGAAACACACACACACACACAGAAACAGAAAAAAACACAGGCGTGCACACACACCCACCCACACACACATTCACACACACAGAAACACAAACACACAGACGCACAAAAACACACACACAAACACACACACACTGACACTGAAACAAAAACACACACACGGAAATACTCACACACACTCCCAGCGGTGCCCTGTTATATAATGAGGAGCCTAGCATATGAAAAATGAAGCTGCTACCATGGAACCAACCTTAATTCACAGTCAATAGTCCTAGCAACGTATATACACTGAGTGCACAAAACATTAGGAACACCTTCCTAATATTAATCAGAACAGCCTCAATTTGTTGGGGCATGGACTCTACAAGGTGTCGAAAGCATTCCACAGGGATGCTGGCCCATGTTGACTATTTTGTCTTGTCCATTCACACTCTGAATGGCACACATACACAATCCATGTCTCAATTGTCTCAAGGCTTAACATTATTCTTTAACCTGTCTCCTCCCCTTCATCTACACTGCTTGAAGTGGATTTAACAGGTGACATCAATAAGGGATCATAGCTTTCACCTGGATTCACCTGGTCAGTCTATGTCATGGAAAGAGCAGGTGTTCCTAATGTTTTTGTACACTCTGTGTCTAGTTGTAGCTATAGCTATATACCTGTAGGTCTTCCTATATGATAGATAGTCATTGGAACCCTCATTATTGTTGAATTTACATTGCAGCTATTCAGGATATGCTGTATAATACTAAACAAGGCTTATTTTTATGAATGTAAAATTATTTAAAAACGCATAGTTTTGTCTGGTTGCCCAGACAGAGTAGAGAATCCCTTTCTGGTCCCTTGTTAATTTGTGGCACGTATGGTATGTCGTGTCAAAGTGCTCTAGACCTGTCTCTGCTCTCTCTGTCACACACACAAACACACACACACACACACACACTTCAGAGGGATGACTGAGAGTTGAATGTGATGGAAATGATGACTATGATGTCCTTGCCAAAAGACCCAACCCTAATATGATATTACCATGTCATAGTTGACTCAGAGACAGACAGTCTTCTCCTCTCTATTCCACACCAGAAGGCTTAAATGTAGTCTACATTACAAAGGATCTGGGCTTCAGATATTAAAGCATTGATAATAAATACCAAACATCTCTCTCTTTCCTTCTCTCCTACCCTTGTTCTTTTGTCTCTCCCGGTTTTTCAGAGAGGGAGGTGGTGGAGGCCTCGGAGCACTAATTTGGTATTTACTACTTTACACTACAGTGTTGTCTGTGTGGAGGACAGGTATTTACAGTGAAGAGAGAGTTTAAAACCTTTCTCTTTCTCTCTCCCTATGGGCCCTGGTGAAATGTAGTGCGCTAAATATGGAATAGGGTGCCGTTTGGGACGTAACCATTCACTGAACTGCTCATTTGCTGCTGTTTTGATTTATTGTAATGACTCGGAGGAAAAAAGACAGTACAGGGTCGCAATTCAATGGCTCAGACATGTGTCGCATTAGGCAGGGACTTCAGACAATCACAGATTATAAAGGGAAAACCAGCCACATCGCAGACACTGACGCCTCACTCCCAGACAAGCTAAACACCTTTTTTGCCCGCTTTGAGAAAAGCAACACAACCCCAGGTTGTGAGGGTAGGCATCAACACCTCCGCCACACTGATCCTCAACACGGGGGCACCCCAGGGGTGTGTGCTCAGCCCCCTCCTGTACTCCCTGTTCACCCATTACTGTGTGGCCATGCACGAATCCAACTCAACCATCAAGGTTGCTGACGACATGACAGTGGTAGGCCTGATTACCAACAACGATGAGACAGCCTACAGGGAGGAGGTTAGAGGCCTCGACAGAGTGGTGCTAGGAAAATAACCTCTCCCTCAACGTCAACAAAATGAAGGAGCTTATCGTGGACTACATGAGACAGAAGAGGGAGCACGCCCCCAGCTTCATTGACGGAGCAGTAGTGGATAGTGTCAAAAGCTTCAAGTTCCTCGGCGTGCATATCACTGAGGACCTGAAATGGTCTCGCCACACCAACATCGTGGTGAAGAAGGTGCAACAGCGCCTCTACAACCTCACAAACTTCTACAGATGCACCATTGAGAGCATTCTGTCGGGCTGCATCACTGCCTGGTACGGCAACTGCTCCGCCCTCAACTGCATGGCTCTCCAGAGGGTGGTGCGGACAGCCCAACGCATCACCGGGGCCACACTGCCTGCCCTCGCAGGTTATCTATAACACTCGGTGTCAAAGGAAGGCCAAGAAGGTTATCAAAGACCTCAGTCACCCGAGCCATGGACTGTTCACTTGGCTACCGACAGAGACAGTACAGGCGCATCAAAGCCAAGACAGAGAGACAAAAAAACAGCGTCTATTACCAGGCCATCAGACTGTTGAACAGCTATCACTAGCCATCTACCAAGTGATGCACACTCACTCACACAAAAATCACACCTCATACTCACAGCCATGCTGCTGTCACATGTCATAGAGACATTGAACCACTGGTCACCTCTTGTTTCACACTGTGTATTTAAATACTGAATTCCCGACATAGCTTATTATAATATTTCTACTACTGTACATGGATTTTATATAGTTACACTGTTTATACACACAGCATATTTATCTATATACTGGATTCTTGACATAGTTCACTCTATATTATATATACTGCAGTACATTCTTAGTTTATCTTGTGTAAAAAAAATGTTTTACATTTTAATTGCTTGGCATTTGACGGCATTGATAGGAGATAGCAACATGAACATATCGCTGCACCGCTATAACACCTGCTAAACTGTGTACGCGACCAATAAACTTTGATTTGATTTGATATGAACTACCACAGGGAAGAAACAGAAACAACAAACAGAGATAAAGACAACAGATGCAGAGAGAGACATTTACCAGCTTGAGAGAGATAAGAATGTGTATATCGTTTGAGTTGTGGAATGGAAGTATTTGTATTTGCATTTGCTCAAAATCTTCATTACAAATCCATCTGTGGGAGCGGGTTAGAGTGGAGCGCTCTAGACAGAATCCCCCCTAATGGGAAGTGTGGCCTGGGAAGCTAGTATTCCTGAATGAGTCCTCTCCTCTCCGCCAACATAGCTAATGACTGCATTCTCTTTCGTCCTCTCTCTCTCTCCATTTTCAGACAACACAGCGAGCATCATCGCACGGCGGAGGCAGTTCAGTCGGCTCGTCCAGGAGCTGTATGAGCTGCCCATAGCGGTGTGGGATGGTGGAGAGCCGGCGCTGAGTGGCACTAGCACGCTGACCCTGCGGGTGTGCCCGTGCCAGCTCAACGGGAGGGTGCAGACGTGCCAGGATGAGAGGGGCCTCCTCTCCTCGGCAGGCCTAAGCACAGGGGCCCTGATCGCCATCCTGTTGTGCATCGTCATCCTGCTGGGTAGGTGTTGCCTGGGTCTGGGTAACATGAAGTCTAGGGGCATGGTGGAGGGTATGGGCCGCCTGGTTGGCATCACACCTGAGGGGCATAGTGGTGGGGATGGGTGCATGCCTGGGGGGCATCATGCCCTAGGGCACGGTAGTGGAAAACCTGGGGGGCATCTTGTCTGAGGGGCATGGTGGTGGAGGGTATGGGCGTTAAAATGCCTAGAGGCATGGTGAAGGGTAGGGAGGAGATTAGCAGGAGGAGGTGGAGACTTAAAGAGGGATGAATGGAAGGGTAAGGAATGACACAGGTGGGTTGTAGAATGAGGGAGGATAGGGAGAAGGTCAGGATGATGGAGAAGTAGAGAACGGAGAGTGAGTGAGTTGGACCAGATGGGTAGCTGGATGTGTGAAGAATGATGGACTGAGAGGAGAATAGAAGAAGGTAAAGGAAAGGACAAGGAGACTTGAGAGAAATGTGCATAAAGAGGGATAGAGCTGTGTTAGACCTATCCAGAAATGTTTTGCTGCTCTGTATTTACTACTTTAGGAAAAACACACTATTTAAGTTAAAGATTGAATCCACAGTAGGGAAAACAGAGCCACAGTCCATATTGTGCTGTTTGTGTATGCAATGATGTCAGAGTAAAATAAAAATAGTTTGCAGTAACTTCTTTGTTGTTGTAGTATTGCAAAGGGGGCAGTTTCACCATTAAAGGGGAACTCCACTCAAAAATCATAATTTTTTCATTAGTCTACTGTTCATACAGTCCCAAAATGTTTTACATCTCAGCAGTCAAGTCTTCAAGATATTGGACCTTCAAGAAGCAAAATGTCACCGGCCACATCATCATGATGATGCAAAACACTTTGCTTCTTGAAAGTCCAATATCTACCAAACTTGACTGCTGACATGCAAAACATGTATGGATTCCAGCTTTAAATTAATGTGTTGTAAAGTAAATGCTGTATAATAAGAGATCAAATAGAATTAATCAAAGTTCCCACAGAAAATAACCAACAACTTTCCCCTTTCAGCAAAGGGGTTACGACACTACCACCACTGCCAAATACCAACATATAGTCTCTCTAGCAAACAGAACAGTAGTAGGACAGGAGAGAGAGCGTGTATAGTTAACAGAATCTGCCATCTCTCACTCACCCCCTCTCCCTTGATTGTCTGTGGACATCGGTGCGTGAAGGTGATGCATATTCATATCAGCAGTCTCAGCATGGCTTTGCCGGAGTCTGAGGCTCACAGCAACTAAAGGCCATCATCACTGTTTGGAGCGAACGCATGAGCGAGAGACTGCACCTGCATGACTAATCATCAGCAGGAGAGAGATTGATGGAAGGAGGGAGAGAGAGAATGACAGGGACAGTGATAGAGAGAGAGAGACAGAGAGAGGCTTATCGAGTTACTTTGGCTGGTGGAGGAAGATTGAGATTAGGTGGGGAAGGGAGTGTTAGTGTGAGACAAAGCTGTTTCATGCTTGAACATGGGCGTGAGAGAGACAGACAGACAGACAGACAGAAAAATACAGAAAAAGAGAGCGGTACAAAAGACAGAGAAAGAGAAAGAGACAGAGGGAGAGAGAGAGGGAGATGTATAGATGTTATAGAAACACAACAGGGTGAGAGAAAAAAAAACATTTAGCAGGAGAACACAACACACAACATACACACAGACAGACACACAACAGTGCTACTTCATCAGAGATGAGAAAGCTCTCACTTCGCATGTGTTAAAACATGTTGCATCCTGAGATAGGGTGCCCAAAACATTGGCACTGGTAGGCTGCTAGCTAGCTGCTGTATGTGTGTCTGATGTTAAATAGTTCCCTTGCCATTAACACCTGTAGGAGAAGTTAAATAGTGTTGTGATACAAGGATTTCCCCTTTTGATCCTCTCAACATGAATGTTTTACAGGGATGGAAGGGAGAAGTCTATTGGTCTGCCAATGCAGCAGGATGATCTAATTTTACTGATTATACTGAGTTTGCATCCCAAATGGCACCCTATTCCTTTTATACTGTAGTGCACTACTTTGACCAGAGCCCTATTGGTTCAATAGTGCTCTGTTTTATAGAGCCATTTGAGACGCAGTGAGAGTTTACTTTTCATTGAATGACCGTTTTATTAACATCATCATCATTAACGCAGAAACCATAACCCTGTTAACTCCAGTACATGTTCATGATACAGTAGTTCTACTTCAGCAAATGAAGTATTCTCCTCAAGAGTTCATTTGCGAGTTAGATACACTATTATGCACATCATCATCAGATGTTGTGGATGTCGCTTAGCTACACACTTATCACCGCTGCTATAGTGGTAAACAAGGTTAATTTGAAGGATACTTCATGTCCCACATGGCACCCTTTTCTCTAAATAGTGCACTACATTTGACTAGAACTCCATAGACCCTGGTCAAAGGAAATGCACTATATAGGGAATAGGGTGGCATTTGGGATTCGGTTACTTATTGTATAGTTAAAGTACCTCAATCAATGTCATAAAATGGAGTGGAGATGGTGTTGTTGTTACAGTGCTGGTATAATGCCCTCACGATCCACTCACCCTGATATTGAATTTTGGCTGAGCGTTCCTGTTAAATCTGTTCCAGAGATGCTCAGTCTATAATGAGAAGATTCTCATAGCAGCTTGCATTGAGAGCATCATTACAGCTAATACCAATGATGGCTAATGTGTATTATTGATTTACACTATGCCACACTCATCTAGCTCCTGTGCCTTGATGAAGAATCAGGAATGAATATGCATTATTATAAAAAATAGTGAATGTTTCAGAGCCTACGTTCCAAATGTCACCCTATTCCTACAGTGGGGAAAAAAAGTATTTAGTCAGCCACCAATTGTGCAAGTTCTCCCACTTAAAAAGATGAGAGAGGCCTGTAATTTTCATCATAGGTACACGTCAACTATGACAGACAAAATGAGGAAAAAAAATCCAGAAAATCACATTGTAGGATTTTTAATGAATTTATTGGCATATGATGGTGGAAAATAAGTATTTGGTCAATAACAAAAGTTTCTCAATACTTTGTTATATACCCTTTGTTGGCAATGACACAGGTCAAACGTTTTCTGTAAGTCTTCACAAGGTTTTCACACACTGTTGCTGGTATTTTGGCCCATTCCTCCATGCAGATCTCCTCTAGAGCAGTGATGTTTTGGGGCTGTCGCTGGGCAACACAGACTTTCAACTCCCTCCAAAGATTTTCTATGGGGTTGAGATCTGGAGACTGGCTAGGCCACTCCAGGACCTTGAAATGCTTCTTACGAAGCCACTCCTTCGTTGCCCGGGCGGTGTGTTTGGGATCATTGTCATGCTGAAAGACCCAGCCACGTTTCATCTTCAATGCCCTTGCTGATGGAAGGAGGTTTTCATTCAAAATCTCACGATACATGGCCCCATTCATTCTTTCCTTTACACGGATCAGTCGTCCTGGTCCCTTTGCAGAAAAACAGCCCCAAAGCATGATGTTTCCAACCCCATGCTTCACAGTAGGTATGGTGTTCTTTGGATGCAACTCAGCATTCTTTGTCCTCCAAACATGACGAGTTGAGTTTTTACCAAAAAGTGATATTTTGGTTTCATCTGACCATATGACATTCTCCCAATCCTCTTCTGGATCATCCAAATGCACTTCAGACGGGCCTGGACATGTACTGGCTTAAGCAGGGGGACACGTCTCGCACTGCAGGATTTGAGTCCCTGGCGGCGTAGTGTGTTACTGATGGTTGGCTTTGTTACTTTGGTCCCAGCTCTCTGCAGGTCATTCACTAGGTCCCCCCGTGTGGTTCTGGGATTTTTGCTCACCATTCTTGTGATCATTTTGACCCCACGGGGTGAGATCTTGCGTGGAGCCCCAGATCGAGGGAGATTATCAGTGGTCTTGTATGTCTTCCATTTCCTAATAATTGCTCCCACAGTTGATTTCTTCAAACCAAGCTGCTTACCTATTGCAGATTCAGTCTTCCCAGCCTGGTGCAGGTCTACAATTTTGTTTTTGGTGTCCTTTGACAGCTCTTTGGTCTTGGCCATTGTGACGTTTGGAGTGTGACTGTTTGAGGTTGTGGACAGGTGTCTTTTATACTGATAACAAGTTCAAACAGGTGCCATTAATACAGGTAACGAGTGGAGGACAGAGGAGCCTCTTAAAGAAGAAGTTACAGGTCTGTAAGAGCCAGAAATCTTGCTTGTTTGTAGGTGACCAAATACTTATTTTCCACCATAATTTGCAAATAAATTCATTAAAAATCCTACAATGGGATTTTCTGATTTTTTTTTTCTCAATTTGTCTGTCATAGTTGACGTGTACCTATGATGAAAATTACAGGCCTCTCTCATCTTTTTAAGTGGGAGAACTTGCACAATTGGTGGCTGACTAAATACTTTTTTTCCCCACTGTATATAGTGCACAACTTTTGACCAGACCCCTATGGGCCCTGGTTCAAAGTAGTGCACTATATAGGGAATAGGATGCAACTTGAGACATACAGAGCTTTTATTTTGCTAGCTGTTTACGACCCATAACATGTTCATTTATTATGAATGAAAAACCAACATAGCGACACCGCATGCAGAGCATGGCGTTAGCATTGCCATCAGACTTGGATATCACAGTGAACCTCGACTGATAAAGATGTGGTGTTGTTAAACCAACCGTTTTGTTTTTGTTGTTTCCATTACTGTTGTTGCTGTTTACATTACGTCTGATGTTGTTTACATTACTGTTGTTGTTGTGGCATGGTGTTTTTGCTTGTCACTCTCTTCTGCAGCAATCGTGGTTCTGTTTACCACTGTTGTTGGCGTTGTTTCTATTACTGTTGTTGTTGTTGTTGTTGTTGTTGAGACGACGTCTCTCTTTGTCTTCCTCCAGCGATCGTGGTTCTGTTCATCACCCTGCGGCGGAGCAAGAAGGAGCCCCTCATCATCTCAGAGGAAGACGTCCGCGAGAATGTGGTAACATACGACGATGAGGGGGGTGGCGAGGAGGACACTGAGGCCTTCGACATCATCACCCTGCGGAACCCCGCCGCCGCTGAGGAGCTCAAGTTCAGACGGGACATCCAGCCGGAGGCAGCCCGACAACACGGGCAAAACCGGGACCACCACAGTCCCCCGGAACTGAACCAGGTGGATGTGCAGGAGTTTATTAAACAAAGAGTGGTGGAGGCGGACATGGACACTAGCGGTCCTCCCTATGACTCCCTCCAGACCTACGCATACGAGGGTCAAGGGTCTCCGACAGGCTCCATCAGCTCTCCGGACTCCCCGGGAACACAATCAGAACAGGATTATAACTACCTGGACGACTGGGGGCCTGAGTTTCAGAAACTGGCAGAACTCTACGGGGAAGATATGGATGTAGCAGAGTCAGATGTTGCGGTGACAGCGGAGACCTAGCCTGTCAACGTCTGTCACACCTTCTGTAAAACCAAAACCTTTCTCTCTCTCAATCCTCCTCCTCAACTTGTTTTAAAACGATAAAATAGAAATGCTTTTGAACTTGTTCCAGCTGATCTACTTTTACTGTTGAATTACTGACTGTCCCTTTTTTCAGTTTTCCTTTTGGAACGGTCTAATATGCAGATGAATTAATTCTGGTGTGGAAAAATATTAAGGATAACGGAAAAAGGAAAATATTTTTCCTGTTGTATATTTTTTATTGCTCAATAAAGTCCTTAATTCCATATGAGTAGATATATGTGAAACAGAGTGTACACTTTTTTCTGAAGATATGCAGAGTAAGGGTTATCTTAGAACAGTGATAATTATGCAAAGCTTTATGGATTTTATGCACAAAAAATTAATATTGAACCATTGCTTTCACTTTAATGACAAGTTGAAAGTCTAATGTGGAAATATTTTAAATCATTTCAGGTTTATCTATTCTAAACAATCATTAAAGCAGGTCATGTGTGACACCACACAAAAACAATTAAATTGACACTCAGGCGTTCTTAATACATTTTACATCATAGATAGCAACAATTCTTCTTAACATGTATATTGATTGCAAAACCGCCACTAAATAGGATTTTCTTCCACTATTATTCCATAGACAGATGTTTTTATATCAGTATGGACAACTATCTGCCTCGATAAGATAAAGGTAAAGTATTATACTGTACCTTGCATTAGAGAGTCATGACATTCGTGTTGAGAAAATAAACTAATATTCAGAAAAATAACATCAGAGGAGAATCAAGGATATTGCATGAGTTTATCATGGTCCTTAAAACACGGTCCCTATGGACCTTGAACATTCGTCCCAAATGGCACCCTATTCCCTAGGCCTAGTACACCACTTTTGGCCAGAGCCAAAAGTGGGGGGCCTGGTCAAAAATAGTGCACTATATAGGGAATATAGTACCATTTGGGATGCACCCATGCAGACTTTTTACTGTGTGTGCTTACTTCATGAAAATAACTCAAAATATATGTTTAATCATTTATTTCCCTGAGCCTCCTTTTTGCATTGAAATGCTCAGTCTGATCGTGTGGGCGTGTTGATACACATTTAAGTACAGTACAAATGTAAGTACATACAAAGCCCAGATTGGTAGATAGGACATTTAGACTCTAGAGCCTACGCCGCTTATACCTTCAAAGTAGGAGGGTACATTTGCAAAGAAATGATGACTGGTCATTGGTCAGAATAATCAGATCAGATTGATATCCCTACAGTATCTTATCCTCCTCTATCTTGCTTGCTCTCTCTCTCTCTCTCTCTCTCTCTCTCTCTCTCTCTCTCGCTCGCTCTCTCACCCTCTCTGACGCTATCTCTTTATAGCTTTCTTTCTATCTCTGTCTCTCTTTCTCTCTCTTTCACTTGCTATCTCTCTTTCTTTTGTCTATTATCCTTCTCTTCTCCCCAGATTCACAGGTACAGTATAAAAGAGAGCGAGGTGAGTCACATCGGTGTTAAAACATTGGGACCTGGACAGATGCTCTGAGTTACTGGAGCTTGGTTTGGGGCAGAGATGAGGACTGAAAAGGTTTTAATCCAGCATGGGAAGATGGAGCAGAGAGTATCATTACCTCCCATAAACATATGCAGGCGTGTGTGTGTGTGGGTGTGGATATGTGTGTGCGTCTGCTTGTACTGTATATGATGAGTGTGCACGTGTGTGTCTTTGCATGTCTTTGTGTATTTATGTACAGTATGTGCATCTGTGCATTGGATCCACTTCAAATTTGCTTCCCTGTCCCCCTGATTATGTCAGAGTCAATCTGTTCCAGTCTCACTGGGGGGGAAAGGAAATCACTCGCCAGATATAATTAATGTAATTGTGCAATCAACACATTTCTAAATGTGTAATAAAAAAAAATGCATTTAAACAGGGGGCAATACATTTGACCTAAAAGACAACATGCTGTGTGATGTATAAGCAGTGCGCTGTAGTGTGTGTGTGTGTGTGTGTGTGTTCTTTACACTTAAGCCTAACATACGGTGCAGAGAATAAATCTAGTAGAGAAAAGAACAGTCTTGTAGTTTTTACAAGGGGATATTTTTCATACTTGACTGGCATAACTAATCTCAGTAACACTTTACTTGACACCCAGCGTCATAGCACTTTATGACAAGGTCATAACCATATCATAATATGTCATAACAGCTTATATAACTTGTCATAACCTGTCATAATATGGCCATAACACTGTCATGACACATACAGTATATTTAGACCTGTTGTGACATATATTGTGTTATTTTATTGGCTGGTTATGACACCTACATAAGAGTGTCAAAACCCACAAAACCTACCACACAATGCAAAACATTCCATTACACCATAGTCTACTTGTCAACAGTATGTTTATGTTATATACAATTTTCTGAAATTGACCATATTAAATTATCATTGTAATTATGCACCCCAAAAATCTGTTGCTGATGACTGGGATGAATACAGGTTAAGATTTCAGGAGCACGACAAGACACCCTCTTTTTGACTGATGACTGACATAAGGGCATGTACGTGATCGGCCTATCTGGCTTATATGATTATGATGGTCATAACGCCTCTTGAGAGTGTCATAAAGTGTGACAGTGTCATAATGCAATATGACAGTGTCATAAAGTGTATTTTCTACAAGTTATAAAAAATATGATGAAAAAAAAACATGACTGTAAAGAATTCATTACAACAACAACAAAGGACTTAAAACCTCTTAAGGACCGGACCCTTTTTTTCAATATCCGCCTAAAATGACATACCCAAATCTAACTGCCTGTAGCTCAGGACCTGAAGCAAGGATATGCATATTCTTGATACCATTTGAAACTAAACACTTTGAAGTGTGTGGAAATGTGAAATTAATATAGGAGAATATAACACATTCGATCTAGTAAAAGATAATACAAACAAAAAAACATGTGTTTTCTATTTTTGTTCCATCGTCTTTGAAATGCAAGAGAAAGGCCACCATATAATATTGAAGTTTAGGCACAATTTAGACTTTGGCCACTAAATGGCAGCAGTGTGTGTTCAAAGTTTCAGATTGATCCAGTGAAGCATTGCAATACTGGACTATTTTGCATCAGGTCTGCCCAAATGTGCCAAATTGTTCATTTGATACATATTAAAGTACATAACTATAGAGAACATACAATAATGATATGGTAATACAAAATGTAAGTTTACACACTCCCAGGAATATATGATGGATCATTAGCTTATACACTAACTTTCACACATCTACAGTGAGGGAAAAAAGTATTTGATCCCCTGCTGATTTTGTACATTTGCCCACTGACAAAGACATGATCAGTCTATAATTTTAATGGTAGGTTTATTTGAACAGTGAGAGACAGAATAACAACAAAAAAATCCAGAAAAACGCATGTCAAAAATGTTATAAATTTATTTGCATTTTAATGAGGGAAATAAGTATTTGACCCCTCTGCAAAACATGACTTAGTACTTGGTGGCAAAACCCTTGTTGGCAATCACAGAGGTCAGACATTTCTTGTAGTTGGCCACCAGGTTTGCACACATCTCAGGAGGGATTTTGTCCCACTCCTCTCTGCAGATCTTCTCCAAGTCATTAAGGTTTCGAGGCTGACGTTTGGCAACTCAAACCTTCAGCTCCCTCCACAGATTTTCTATGGGATTAAGGTCTGGAGACTGGCTAGACAACTCCAGGACCTTAATGTGCTTCTTCTTGTGCCACTCCTTTGTTGCCTTGGCCGTGTGTTTTGAGTCATTGTTATGCTGGAATACCCATCCATGACCCATTTTCAATGCCCTGGCTGAGGGAAGGAGGTTCTCACCCAAGATTTGACGGTACATGGCCCCGTCCATCGTCCCTTTGATGCGGTGAAGTTGTTCTGTCCCCTTAGCAGAACCCCCCCCCCCCCCCCCCCAAAGCATAATGTTTCCACCTCCATGTTTGACAGTGGGGATGGTGTTCTTGAGGTCATAGGCAGCATTCCTCCTCCTCCAAACACGGCGAGTTGAGTTTATGGCAAACAGCACGATTTTGGTCTCATCTGACCACAACACTTTAACACTCCCGTGGTCCTAGGGTCAAAATGACCCGCCACTGTGTTGAACCAACTTTATTTAATTTTAATATTTTTGGGATCATTTGTGAGAAGGAGGCAGTGAGACTTTAAAGAAAGTATCACTGCCTCCTTCTCATATATGATCCAAAAAATATAAAAATTAAATAAAGTTGGTTCAACACATTGGCGGGTCATTTTGACCCTAGGACAACGGGAGGGTTAACCCAGTTCTCCTCTGAATCATTCAGATGTTCATTGGCAAACTTCAGAGGGCCCTGTATATGTGCTTTCTTGAGCAGGGGGACCTTGCGGGCGCTGCAGGATTTCAGTCCTTCAAGGCGTAGTGTGTTACCAATTGTTTTCTTGGTGACTATGGTCCCAGCTGCCTTGAGATCATTGACAAGATCCTCCCATGTAGTTCTGGGCTGATTCTTCACCGTTCTCATGATCATTGCAACTCCACGAGGTGAGATCTTGCATAGTGCCCCAGGCCGAGGCAGATTGACAGTTATTTTGTGTTTCTTCCATTTGTGAATAATCGCACAAACTGTTGTCACCTTCTCACCAAGCTACTTGGTGATGGTCTTGTAGCCCATTCCAGCCTTGTGTAGGTCTACAATCTTCTCCCTGACATCCTTGGAGATCTATTTGGTCTTGGCCATGGTGGAGAGTTTGGAATCTGATTGATTGATTGCTTCTGTGGACAGGTGTCTTTTATACAGGTAACAAACTGAGATTAGGAGCACTCCCTTTAAGAGTGTGCGCCTAATCTCAGCTCGTTACCTGTATAAAAGACAACTGGGAGCCAGAAATCTTTCTGATTGAGAGGGGGTCAAATACTTATTTCCCTCATTAAAATGCAAATCATTTTATAACATTTTTGACATGCATT